AAGATGGCGCCTGTAGTTTTCAGGAGAGGAATAAAGAGGACCTGTCCTTCATGAATAAGCTCCGGATATGTCACAATATGCAGCAATAGTATTTTTTTTTCCATTAAAAACCATCCTTGATCTCAACCTAGTGACTTTGCCTAGGCTCAGATGATGTCATCAGTGTGCTGCAGGCAGGAGGAAGCATTTCCTCAGTCTCCCCTCCCCCCAGTGATCAGTGTGCTGCAGGCAGGAGGAAGCATTTTGTCGGGCTCCCCTCCCCCAGTGATGAGTCTGCTCCAGGCAGGAGGGAGCATTTGCTCAGTCTCCCCTCCCCCCATCCTATTCAGTCTGCTGCAAGTGGGAGGAAACATTTCCAAAGACTCCACTCCCCCAGTGATCAGTCTGCTGCAGGCAGGGGGAAGCTTTTTCTAAGTCTCCCCTTCCCCCAGTGATCAGACTGGACATTGTAACTTTGTAGCAAGGTGAGAGGCAGCAGCAGGGGCTGACATGTGTCAGACATTCGTGAACACTGCCATGAACTGCGCAGGCACCAGTGAGCCTGGATGCTAAGATATTGTGTCCTAGGTGTAGAGAATGATGGGCACCTAGGACACAGTTGGATTTTTTTGTTGTAGTTTTCTTGCACTAGTGTATCGAGAACAGGAAGGAGGGTGGGGGGAGCTCAGATTACCCCAAAGATTCTACATAGAGCACAGTATGGTCTTCTGAACATCTTTATCGTCTGTCTGGGTTCCCCTCTTAAAGGGCCAGCTGAGATCTCATTCACACCACAACGCACATAGAAACACACATAAAAAAGCACATGCACATTGAGTCTTTTCTGTACCGGCCACATCAGGGGTCCAAGTGCTTGTTTTGTACTTTGAGGCGCGTTGCAATGACGACGTAGACCAGCGCACAGGTGTGATGCGAACGGGGCCCCTAGACAGCAACTGATTTTAAAAAGTCCTTGCGTTGGTCAATGCAGATCAATCCACCTGGTGTGAACAAGCCCCTTAACTTGAGAAGACGATCCCTGGCAGCCAGGTTCTTCAAGGGTTCCTCCTAGGTGGGGAGATCCTTGCATCACTCCAACCCCCTAGGTCCAAAGGGTCAATGTAGAACATCCCTGGCAGCCAGGATCTTCAAGGTTTCCTCCAAGGCGGGGAGATCCTTGCATCACTCCAACCCCCTAGGTCCAAAGGGTCAATGTAGAACATCCCTGGCAGCCAGGATCTTCAAGGTTTCCTCCAAGGCGGGGAGATCCTTGCATCACTCCAACCCCCTAGGTCCAAAGGGTCAATGTAGAACATCCCTGGCAGCCAGGATCTTCAAGGTTTCCTCCAAGGCGGGGAGATCCTTGCATCACTCCAACCCCCTAGGTCCAAAGGGTCAATGTAGAACATCCCTGGCAGCCAGGATCTTCAAGGTTTCCTCCAAGGCGGGGAGATCCTTGCATCACTCCAACCCCCTAGGTCCAAAGGGTCAATGTAGAACATCCCTGGCAGCCAGGATCTTCAAGGTTTCCTCCAAGGCGGGGAGATCCTTGCATCACTCCAACCCCCTAGGT